ATCCTAGTACATGTAGTCTTACTGATGTTTTTGTTATTGTCTTTATAGTCATCATCAGCTACTATCACAAAAGCTGTGCAGATCAGTTTATAAATAGGGCTTCAAAAAGCACATGGAAAAATTCCATTATCTTTCCATTCCATTTTTCCATAAATTTTCTTAAGTCTCTCATATATACTATGTATGTACATAAAATATTTGTAAAGTTTGAAAATTACAGTTTCCATTTTGGTAGAAAACTGTGACTTATTTGAATATAGTTATGAATTTTGTACATACTATAACCAGTTCTAGGCAAATTTCTGCCCCACAGGTTTATTGGGTTTTTTAAACTGTGGTGAAAATATACATAGCAAAACTACACCATCTCAATAATTTCTACACGTTCATTCTTAGCTTCTGCCCTCATACCCCACTTGCACTAGCCTTTTGCAACCACCATCAGCTTAAGGCCAACCTGAACCTCTCCCATCGCTTTCCTCCCTTTTCCCATGCTTGGTAAACACTAACAATCTTTGGTTTCTCTGTATTCACTTATTTCATCTAATTGAGCTCAGATGGCATTTGTCCTGTGAGAACTGACGTATTTTGTTCAGCATGTCTTCAAGGTTCATCTGTATGGTGGCATACATCAGGACTTCATTTCTCTTTATAGGTGAGAGCCTTCATGATGCAATGGTTCAGTGCTCAGTTGCTAACTGAAAGATTGGTGGTTCAAAGCCGCTGGGTGGAAGAAATATGCAGCACTCTTCTTCCATAAAGAGGGCAGTCTTGGAAATTCTGTGAGGCAGTTCTGCTCTGTCTTATAGGATCATTAAGAGCTGGAACTGACCCAAGGGCAATGGGGGCATTGCATTGTATGTATATTCCATTGTGTCTCGATACCATCCATCTGTTGATGGATATTTGGGTTTTTCCACCTTTCAGCTCTTGTGAAAAGCAAAACAGTGAACATTGGTGTGCATATTTCTGCTTGTTTTCCTGCTTCCATTTCTTCTGGAGATATATATATATATATAACAAGGATTGGGACCGTTGAGTCTTATGCACGATCAGCACTGGATTGTGAACCACAAGTTCAGCAGTTCAAACCCAACAGCTGCTCCTCTGAAATCGTATACACAGGGTTGCTATGAGTCAGAACTGATTGATGGCACTTAACCACAACAAAAATGAATTCTTTGTTCAATTTTTTGAGAAAACATCAAACTGTTTTCTAGCGTGGCTGTACCATTTTCCATAGTTTTTTTAAGTCAATGAAAACAGTGCATTTAACACAGTGCCGTGCCTCCACCAAAATTTGTATTCATCTTGTTGTGAAGTGCTGTCAAGTCAGTTGATCCTGGATAGGGTTTCCGAGGAGCGACTGGTGAGTTCAAACTGCCAAACTTGCAGTTCAAACTGACTTTGCAGTCCCGTGCATTAACCCACAGCTCTACACCAGGACTCCTGTATTCATACTGTTGTTGCTGTTAAGTGTCGTCGAGTCAATTCCGAGTCATAGCAATCCTGTATCAGGTTCCCAAGGAGTGACTGTTGAGTTTGAACTGCCTACCTTGAAGATCAAACCAACCTTTTAGTCCAGTGCATTAACCTGCAGCGCCACACCAGGATTCCTGTATACATATTGTTGTTGTTGTTGTTGTTGTTGTTGTTGTTGTTAAGTGCTATCAAATCAATCCCAACCCAGAGCGACTTTGTTTAGGGTTTCCAAGTAGCAGCTGCTTAGCTGGAACTGCCAGCCTTGCAGTTCAAATGGCTTTGCAGTTGTAACATTAAAACACAGTGCCACACCAGAACTGCATTACCGAAAACATTTTCAAAGTTGAACCTTCAATTACATTAACAATGCCAGATGTTTGATTTTCAATCAAAGCATGAACTTCCAAAGGCTTTATTTTGATCCTTAGAATTGAATGGGAAAAAACCGAGCTATTTTGTAATTAGCCGATTTTCTAATTGATGCATCTTTTGGCACCCATAGGAAACTGACACCACCTATCACATTCATCATCACCCTTTCGCTTTATTACAAGCGTAAGGAAATTTGGGATTGAAAAATTAAAGAGTCACCTGATTCAAGTGAAAGGTGTGCCTCACAGTGATGTGAAAACACACCTCCTGCGGTTGCACGTGTTGAATCCAGATTTGGGGGTACATTCTTCCTAAATTAGGGAGTAACTTTTTTGAAGTAGATGGTGATGTTTCTTCAGCATATTTGTGTCTCAGTGACAATGAGACAGACTGCTCCGGGCTGGGGGGGGGGGGCTGGGGGGGATAGTAAACGTTGACAAACATTTTGTGGAAATTACAGATTCCTGGTGTGGCACTACAAGTTAATGCACTGGACTGAAAAGTCGGTTTGAACCACAAGATCAGCAGTTCAAGCTCATCAGCCGCTCCTTGGAAACCCTATACAGGGTTGCTATGGGTCAGAAGCGACTTGACAGCACTTAACAACAACAACGACAGTGACAACCTGAGACCTGAAGAGGTCTGGTAGCGTAGTGGACTAGAGCCGGACTGCTAACTGCAAGGTGTGCAATGGGACTCCACTGGCTGTTTCAGGGGAGAAAGATGAGACTTTCTGCTCCTGTAAAGAATTACAGCCTTAGAGGTCCTATATAGGGTCGCTATGAATTGGAACTGACTCCACAGCACAAAACCACTACCACCACCATGAGACCTGGAAGAAGCCAGAAGAACCAAATGGAGGTCTATTAACACATGGCTCATCTTAATGCAAATAATAAACTTTTGTAAAGAATAGAAAAATGTGGGAGGTAAAAGCTAAAGCAAGAAGATGTTAGAAAAACAGACATGACACCTGGTTGTTCCAGGTGAACCAGAATCTACAGTCAGGCCACTGGAGTCACTGTCAGAACTGTGGCTTTTACAGAAATCAGAAGTTACTGGAGGGCTTTGGGTAATAGAAAGACCTGATCCAAACTCTGAAGGACCACTCTGACTGCTGTGTGGAGAACAGATTGGAGAGGGACAAGGACAGGGTGGCCAGTCATGAGTCTACTGATACAGCCCAGCAGTGAGAACCAAGGCAGTAGTTCCTAGTTGTGTGCATTTGGCCGGAGGGAACTCAAATTTCCAGGCCTTTGTTGCTGGTAATGCCACACAGTATGCAAGAGCCCTCAGAATATCGTAGTTCTAAAACACCAGACAAGAACAACTACTTAATCCCTCTTATATGATGTTACTCCTCACCCACCGACTCTCAACCTCTAATTATACTGTAGGCTAATGTAGACTCATCCACCTAGTAAAATACATATATCAGTGGATATTAGTAACTATTCTACTTAATAAGAAGCTCTATGGAGCTCTGGTAGCGTAGTGGTTACGAATTGGGCTGC